AATGACCAGAAAGGTACAGCATTTGAATTAGCTACCTTTGAACTACATCACTAGTATTTTGTTGTTGTGATGTGTCATTTGATCACCTGTGACTCATATTGACCCCTATGTACAATAGTGCTGAACCTTGCCCTATCCTGAGCCAGTCTCGCCAACTCCAACACAACCTCCATTACACCAGTCACTGTGTCAATCCAGCTCACTCAGGGTCTTCCTCTCTTCTGCGGTCCCTTCACCCTTCTAAGCATGATGTCCTTCTCTAAGGACTGGTTTCTCCGGGCCACATGTCCAAAGTATGTGATACAGAGCTTCAAAATCCTTGTCTCCAAGGAGAAACTTGGTTTCACCCTCTCCAAAACAGACTTATTTGTTTTCTTGGAAGTCCATGGTATGTTTAATACTCTTCTTCCAGGACCAAAAGCATCAATTCTTCTTCTGTCATCCTTAATTATTGTCCATCTCTCTGATGTATAGCAAGCAATTCCAAAGGCCATGGCCTTAATCAGGTGGATCATAGCCTCCAGACTAACATTGCTGCTTTTTAGCAACTTTGGAGAGGTCCCTGACAGCAGACTTTCCCAGAGCACCTTATCTTTTGTTTTCCTAACTTCTGGTATTAAGAGTGTTGATTGTGGAGTTGAGCAAGCTGAAATTGTTAACAATAATCTCAATCTCTTTTCCATTTTTCATGGTGCTGCCAATTAGGTTAGTGGTGAGAATCTTTGTCTTTTCATGTGGAGCCTCAATCCATATTGAATATTATAGTCTTAGATTTTCTGCCACTTCAGGTCCTTCTCAGTTTCAGCAAGCAAGGTTGTATCATCTGCCACATTCCTCCTCATATGTCCAGTCCTCTGATAATCTTTTCCACATACAGATTGAACAAGTATGGAGGACATATTCCTGACACCCTCCTTTCCTGATTTTGAACCACGCAGAGTTTCCTTGCTCTATTCTGACAACTACTTTCTGGTCCAAGTATAAGTTTCACATGAGAACAATCAAGTGTTCTGGGATTCTCATTCTTTTCAAGGTTAGCCACAATTTGTTGTGATTCATGAAGTCAAATGTCTTTGCATAGTCAATGAAACACAGGTAGACATTCCTCTGGTACTCTGCTTATCAGCCAAGACCCATCTGGTGATAATGTCTCTGTTGCCATGTCCTCTTCTAAACCGGGCCTATATTTCTGGTAGTTCTCTGTCAATGTACTGCTCCAGCCATTTTTGCATAATCTTCAGCAGGACTTTGCTTGCATGTGATATTGTTTGATAACTTCCACATTCTGTCAGGCCATTATTTTTGGGAATGGAAACAAATATGGATCTTTTCCAGTCAGCTGGCCAGGCTGTGGTCTGCTAGATTTCCTTGTGCACCTCCAGGACAGCATCTGTGTAAAAATATGTAAATTGGTATTCCATAACTCCTGGGGACTTGATTTTTGCCAATTCCTTCAGAGCAGCTTGAACTTCCTTCTTTGTCACCATTACTTCTTGATCATATATTGTTTCACGAAAGCCTTCTGAGTTAGCCAATTTCTTTTGGTACAGTGACTCTGTGTACTCCTTTTATCTTCTTTTAATCCTTCCTGGATCATTCAATATTCTTCCCATAGCACCCTTAAGTATTATGACTCAAGAATTTAATTTGTTCTTTAGCTCCTTCAGCTTAAGACATTTCCAGCAAATTCAGCACTTTTCATTATAATACTTTGTTTTGTCTTCTCAAGATGTCCTTTGAAATATTCTGTTTAACTCCTTAGCTTCTGGATTTCTTCCCTTTGCTTTGGCTTCTCAGCACTCTAGCACAATATTTAGATTCTTGACTCAGTTTCCATCTCAGTCTTTTATCCCTCCTCTGTCTTTGCCATGACCTTTGGCTTTCTTCATGAATCATATTCTTGATATCCTACCAGTGCTCATCTGGTCTTTGTTCATTAGTTTCAGGGCCTCAAACATATTCCTGAGGTGATTTTTAATTCAGGCAGAATAGACTCAAGGCCAAATATTGTTTCTTGTGGATTTAATTTTCTTTAGCTTCAGTTTGAACTTGTGTATGTGTAGTTGATGATCTGTTTCACAGTCAGCACCTGACCTAGTTTTCACAGCTGATATTGAGCTTCTCTAGTGATTCTTTCCACAGATACAGTCCATCTGATTCCTATGTGTACCATCTGGTAAAGTCCATGTGTATAATTGCTGTTTATGTTTCTTACAAAAGGTATTTGCAATGAATAAATCATTGATTTATGCATCAGAGAGCTGGACAATGGTTAAGGATGACAGAAGAGGAATCGATGCCTTCAAGTTGTGGTGCTGGAGAAGAGTCTTGAACGTACCATGAACCACCAAGAAAACAAATATGAGAGGGTGAAATCAAATTTCTCCTTGGAGGCTTGAAGTCTGAAGTTCCTTTGCACATACTTTGGGCATGCAGCCAGGAGGGACTGGTCTTTGGACAAAAGATATCATGCTTGGAAGGGCGGAAGGACAGAACAGGATAGGAAGACTCTGGATGAGACAGATTAATAAAGTAACTGGGGAAATGGGGGTAGGTGTGTAGAGTCAGTGAGACTGGTTCAGGATACGGCAGGCTTCAGAGCTCTTGTACATAGGGTTGCTATGAGTTGCAGGCAACTCGATGGCACATAACAACAGCAGCAAATAATTGACTGCACAAAATTCTATCATTCTATCTCCTCATTTCTGTCACCAAGTCCATTCTTTCTGACTAGTGATCATTCTTCCCTGTTTGTAACCGTTGCATTCCAATAGTCCATTATTATTAATGCATCTTGGTTGCATGTTTGATCGATTTCCAATTGTAAAAATTGGTAGACATCATCTATTTCCTCCCTGTCAGCTCTTGATGGTGTATATATTTGAATTACAGTGGTATTATTCAGATTTTCTTGTATGAGTATAGATACTATCCTTTCACCAACAACATTGTATTTCAAGATGGATCTAGAAATCACCTTTTCCACTATGAGTTCAAGCCTGTTTTTCCTCATCTTTTGATCTCCAGCTTAGTAGATCGTATGACTCAAAATGTCACATGCCAAGCAGTCTCATTTTGTCAATGCCTGGTATGTCAGTATATACACATTCCATTTCCTTAGCTTAGTTTAGGGATGGCATGGTTAACTGTTTCTCATCACTTAGAGCTCTCAGGTCAAATAGTATTTATTCAGAAAGGTCTACTTGTTCACTTGATCATCCTGCTCCCTTAATTTGCCCCAAGTAATTTTCTTTCCCATTGACTTATTTCACTTTCTTATAGCATCTATCAACACCTAAAATTATCCTTTTTATATTTGTGTGCTTATTAATGATGTCCCTATATTAATATATAAGCTCTGTAAGAAGGAACTTATTTGTCTGTCTTATTGAGAGCAGTATCTTAAAAGCCCTAAACCACGCCTACATAAATGAATATTTGAGTTTCGAACCTGTGTGCCATTTTGAAAATAGTTTTGTTGCTTTTGGTATTTCAATGCACACAACTTTATATTTATTTCAGTGAAAAATAGCACAGGAGTGTAGGCTACTTTTTAAAAAAGAATAAGCAGATCATCAATTTAAATTACCAAATGAGACTACAGCTCACAAGATGTACTAGAAAAAAGCAAAAGAAATACTAACAATGCCTTGTTAATAAAGATTGCAGCTAACATTAATGAGTACTTTCCATTTCCCAACTTCTGTTGCAAGTAATAGAACCTTTTGCTCATCTAGTCCTTAGAACAATTTTGTGAAATAAGTATAACATAATATAATTAATATAATATGATATAATAATCTTCATTTTTATTGGAAGTCTAAAGACACTGAGTTCAGAGGTTAGGTAGGGAGTTACAAAGGTTAACTTGCCTGGAGTAATAAAGACGAAGTCTAGAGCTAAGATCAAACTCAAATACTTTGATTCTAGTTTCTGACTTTTACCATATTCCCTCATTATCACTTAGTAAACTTAGAGTATTTTTACATTTATTATCTTTTTTGTTTGCTAGTAGATCTGACATTCTTTTGCATATAAGATTTTTTTGCTTCTTTTATTTAAATTACGCATATTTCCACCCCCCACTTTCCTACTTTGAGATTATGTTTCATACAATCATTTCCATACATTGTGTTTCATAAACTTAATCACCATTACCAGGTTTTTTCAGGTCCCTGCTAGATCTTTCCAATTTCTTTTACTCCCTCCCTGCACCCACCAAATGTGCAACCCTGTAATTTTGGCCCTTCCCATCCTCACCTCTCTGCTCCCATCTGTTGGATCCCCATACACATTTTACTAGTTATCCTTCTATTTTTTGCAATAATAGTCTTATTCAGTAACTGTACTTTTGAGACTGAATTAGTTCATTCAGCATAATGCTCTCCAGTCTCTCCTCTACAGCAACAAGGATGACTCAGAGAAGGAAACCAAGAAAACAATACCATTTGCAATAGACAACCAAAATTTGAGTTTCTTGGGAATGAACCTAACTAGAGACAAGAAAAATCTATACAAAGAAAACTACAGAACACTTCTGTGAGAAAAAATAAAAGACTTAAATAAATGGGAAAATGTTCCTTGTTCATGGATAGGAAGACTCAATATAGAAAAAAATGACAATCCTACCAAAAGTCATCTACATGTTCAGCTCAATCCCAATACAGATACCAAATTTATTTTTCAAGGAGATATTTTGCATATAGATTAATGAATAGTTCAGAACAAAGAATAACAGACTTAGGGTTGAGGTCCAGGCTTAATATGCCAATAATCTATGCAACTCCTAACTGACTATTTAAATCTTTACTCTCAAACTGTATAATGAATAGTTTAACAGCAGCAAGACATCCAGTGCTCTCAGAGCAGAGCTGTGAGTTTATCTTTAATAAGGTTGAGTTAAGAGCTTGGAAAGCTCAAACATTAATCTTTTTAAATGTCCCTTATAACTGTCCTTGGAGATTCACAGGTAATATTGTTAGAAATATTTAATACATTACCTGGACTTTATTCATCTCAAGTTTGTTCTTCTCATTTGCACTCTGGTCTTGTTTGCTAGCTCCCTTTTTCTGGGGGCCTTTCCCGAAGAAGATGTAATTTACAAAGGCATATTCCAGCAGAGCCAAGAACACAAATACAAAGCAGCCCATTAGATAAATATCAATTGCTTTGACATAAGGGATCTTTGGCAAGGTCTCCCTGAGATGAGTGCTGATGGTTGTCATTGTCAGCACTGTGGTGATTCCTGTGAAAGAGAAAGACAAGGCTTAAGCTGAAGGTGTCCGTCTTTTTTTTTTTTTAGGTGTCCGTCTTAAGGACAACTATTTTTGTCTCCTTGGGGTTTTTAAAGGATGGCAGTAACGTGATAAGCCATTGGTAAAGTAGAACAGAGATATTTTGAAAGATATAATGGCAACTTATATACATAGTCCATTAAGGAATTGGAAGCTGGTATGTACGGTTAGTGGAAGATTGTAAAACAATTACTTTTTTAACACACACACACACACAGACACCACAACACATACAGACACACAGAGAGACACATACACAGAGCAAACACACACAGACGCTCACACAGAGACACACAGACAGACAGACACACAGAAGCAGAGACACAGACAGACAGAAACACACACACAGACAGAGATACACAGACACGCAGACACAGACAGACACAAAGACACACACACACA